GTATATATATATATATGTGTGTGTGTGTGTGTGTGTGTGTGTGTGTGTAATGAAAAATAATAATTTTGCAAATGATGAGAAGATAATAACTATTCCTTGCACAATTTCCTATTTTTCTTTTCAACATTTATTTGGCGAAGTAGGATTTTTGAATGAATTCATAGCGCAAAAACAAGATTTTTCCATCTCTGACTCGTCAGTTAAATTAAACTGGTTGCCAACTATTGTAGTGCTTTCGGTCTTTTTAATAATTTAATTACTTCCATGCCCTTCCTAGTTTGTTGAAAAGTACGTATTGTTTTACGAGAAACGTGGTACTTATTTGAAAATTCCTGTCGTGCCTTGCACAAGAGGAATCTTTGTCGACGGCAGTTTTCGAATCCTTATTAGTGCTTATGATCAGGGTGCAGCTAAAAGTAATTCCTTTTGAAGAGTGCGTACCGTACCTGAATACCTTTATTACGTCACCGCACATGAATGCCATGCTTTAAAGCTTCGATGGCATACCTTCAAAGAATTTTTGCCTAGTTTATGCTTATGCAATAGGAATGTTTTTCTGACACCTTCGTTTAAGAATTATTCTAGTTTCAAAGGTTAAATAAAATTTTTCTGTAACAGATTTATAAAAGGCCACGTAATTGTTTTCTTTTAGATTACTAAAAAAAAGTACAAATTACTAAATAAAAATTACTGAAATAGTACTTTAAAATAAAAGTTACAATGTTTAAAGAACCGCAATACTTTTTTGGCATAATGTTAACTTACATTTATACTTTATTTGAATTTATTATTAATTTTGTCAACTGAAGTACAGAAATATGAAACTCATATTTTTCTTTTCAAAATGAAACTTTTTTAGTGAGTATAGTTGGTGCTGATGGATATCTGGTTGTTATACTGTATTAGGTATAAACAATCAAGAAACGCTTTCCCCCCCTTCTAACAGTTTCAATGCCTTTTTATGGTTATTTGACTTCTTTTTTGCTTGAATATGATAAAAAAGCAATTAAATAAATTGCTATTTAAACATTTTTATTGAGACATTTCTAGCAGTTTTATTGCTTTTTCTTGTTTGTAAGTGCATCACAGTTTCGATATTGTTTTTATAATTCAAATAGAGTAATCAAGGCACATTATTTAAAAGTTATAACACATTCTTTATAAAATTACATTTTAATTTTAGAAAACTCAAGTGCGTATAACTTAAAATAACATTTAAAAACCAATAAGTATTATCATTGTTGTAAATTGATGTTTTTATATTGTATTTTACTTCTTACCGAATTTTGTAGGAAAATTTTTTTTGAAAAAAAGTTTCAGCTTTTGAGAGCTACAGTGAACTATATTCAACATCTTTAGGATGGAAAGTTGCTTGATTAATATTATCAACAGTAGCTTCTTACTTAATTACTAAAACTTACATTCCGTATGATTTCATATAGAAAAAATTTAAACATGCAATATAAAACTTGAAAAAGGAAATGTAACGGAAATTGACCAAATATAAAAAAAATAAATAAAACGAACTGAAATAAATAGCAAAAGAACTGAATAGTAAAATAATAAGTATCACTTTTTCCGTTTCCAATTATTATGCAATTTTATTTTCCTATTTTTCGTTAGTGCTAATTTCATCATACTTCTTGCTAAAAGTGTTAAAAAAAACTTGAGTATTTTTTTCTCTCACACTAAAAAAAATTTAAAAAAATTGCTTGTTAAAGTCTTATAAAATATTTGAAATTAACGTATGTGATATATTTCAAAGTTATCAAATTATCAAAGAACGTATAGCCAATTAAATTGCATTTAGCAAAAACTTTTTTAAAACTTATATGTTTTTACAAGTCTCTTATTGCTGTGATTAACGAAACATTTTTAATTCGTAGAAAAATGCGTGTTTCACTGTAATAAAAGTTTTATTGTACCTTTGTCTATCTTTTAAAATTATGGGACTCCTTAAAACGCAGTAGAATTGATTTTAAAAATATTAGGAATTTTATATCTAGATTAACAATTTTTATGCGTATGTACAAATTTAGAATACTTACGATGCTGCTAGAGTTTATGTAATCTGAGCTAGAGACATTTGATAGCTCATTTAGTACAACCCGTGAATGGTCATCTGTAAAAGAAAATGTTTTATTCGATGACATAAAATTAGTAAATACAAAAGCAATTAAAAAATTTTCTTATAAAATGTTGAAGAAAATTTCTTATTGTTTTAACTAAACTTTATATTGATATTCACTTTCTTAATTTGAATAATATTCCTCTTTATTATTAAAACTTTTCTGATTATTTTAAACCATTGAATTCATCATTTTTTTATATTGAAATCTTAAATAAAATTATTATTATTTATACTGACAATATGCCTTAGTTTAAGGGGAACCTGACAGGAAATATGAATAAAAATTATTAATTATTTATTTTGACTCAGCTGTAGGCATAATATCCAACATTCATTGAAACATTTAATTTGGAATTCATCTTTATATGAAAGAGGCTTTTTACTAATTTTAGGCTGTCTACTAATTTTAAAAGGAATAAACAGTGTCTTTTTCCGTTAGAGGCATCTCCTTTTATAATATTTCCTCGAAAATTTGATCGGTTGCAATTATGATTTTTAAGATCATTCAAGAATGATTAATTGAATATTAAACATTGTCTTATAGGGCATATATTGAACAAAATGCAGATTTTTCGGGAAATTATCCAATGATTCAGATACATCTGCAAATAAACAGCAGTGATATAAAAGAGGTTCATTATTAAAGCAAATGGAATAATTAAATTGTTGAATTTAATGCTTCTTCATCAAACATTATATGGGAATTTCGCTATAGGGTATTTACATATAATTTATTTTATATTTTATTAGTTTAAATTTATTGAAAATCATTTATGCAAAATGACGCATGTATTATGTTTAATATTCGAGCTAAAAATTTTGCATTCAGAACCTGCCACCTTTTTAAGAAAATTTCTGTGATGTTTTTGATTCTAACTCTTGAAATAAAAGTTAACTAAGATTTAACGACGTTAAACTATTTATCAAAGTCTCTGTTCAAAAACTCTCATAACCACCCATTGTTTGGGTTCTTAATATACGTATATATTAAAAACATCTAATCGATATCAATAATTTCATCCTAAAGGACTAATTTTGAACATTCGTTATGAACTAATGTAATATAATTTTTTGTTAATATTAACTAGATACCTCTTTTAAGAATAAAAGAAAAAGGTTATAAAGTGGAATGGATTATAGTGTAAAGTTATAAAGTGGAAAATATTCAATGGAGCAATTGCTTCATAATATACTTACCTAATTACAGCGATAATAAGTTATATTTTACTGTCTGGTATTTACAATTATAAAGTTTGAAACAATACTATTATTTCAACAGAAAATAGATTAAAGAAAGCGTTTTAAACTTATTTAACCATTCTTAAAACAGTTCTTAATTATTTTCTTTTTTATGAAATTACCTTGCAACAAAATATTTCTTACGTGTAAAATGATAGCAATTTTACGTGATTTGAAGGATATTCAAAAATCCCGTAAAGATCAGAACGCCGATAGCTTTTCCCAATAAATTTCTTGTTTAAAATATTCCGATAGTCTAAAGTTAAAAAAAAAGGTATAAAGCTTGTTTTTAAATCGAAATTTTTTTTTTGCATAACAAGTAAATTTTTAGTGCACATTTCTTAGGTATGAATGGAATTCAAAATTAGATGCTGTTACTCATTTTTTTTCCGCGTTTTTAATAAGTGACGAAACTTGCTGAAATTCTGATTATTATATGACATTAAAATAAGTAATTTTGGACTATTATAGCAGATTGCAATACCTTTTAGAAAATATAATAAAAACTAATGAGCATTAATTAAACGATTTATAAATCTTCAAGGTTAATATTTTTTTTAAAAATATTGAAGTCCAGCATATAGGTATAGAAAAATAATTTTTAAACGCTACTTTAATATATGTTATAAAAAATGCATGATAATTAAAAAAAAAATACTTTCTTGCGATTAACTGAAGAAAAAAAAAGTGGAGATTTAGGACATAAATTAAAAAGCTGGAACAATATTCGCTGAATGTAAAAATAAACTTTAATTAATTTGTTCTTTGAAACTCTATTCAATTGACCAGCTCCCACCCCACCCTTTACATTTCACCCACAACGATGAACATGTCGAACAAAAGCGGATTACAAGATTCTCGCTGAATAAGATTAAAAACATAAAAATTGTGTTATTAAAGTCAGGGATGAAAATGTAAGGAAAAATAAAACTCTTGCTTAAAAGAACAAAAATTCGAAGGTAGAAAAATAAGAACATGTATTATTCTTTGTGATCGAAGTTCCAATTTTTTAAATGCAGATTATACAAAGGTAAAAAAATTTTTTGGGCTTTATTCCTGGAAGGAAAAGTTCAAAAATCTATTTAAATATTAAAATAAAAGTAGTTTTATTTATAATAAAAACCTAATATTTTAATGGCGGATTCCTCATTTTTCTTCCGAAAGCTTAGTGATAATTTGTGCTTTTATATATATAAAAAAATAATAACCGTTCATGTTTGAAACATATTTTTAAAAGCTAGCTTTGGCTTTGTATTCATCTGATGACTAATTATTCTTTCCGGAAAAAAAATCTTAACCCATTTGTTAGAAAATAAAATATTACTTTTAATTAATGCCTTTCTTTATAGCAATAAGCCGATTTAGGCAGTTAATTTTTTTTCCTCGTAGAAATAAGTTAAGTAATAGATTAGTTCCAATTATGAACTCTAATTCCTAAAAGAGTATTCAATTTTTTATGTTGAAGTATTCTTCAGGTAATTTATTGTTTTTGCATCGATTCAATTTTACGTAAGTAATAGTTTTTAAAATGTAACTAATTTTTTTTAATTTTTTTATCGAATGACTGAATAAAAAATCTCAAAAGAAAAATTAAGGTTAAAGTAGAAATGTCTGCCATATAATAATAATTCTCGATTCGTACACCCACAAAGAGGTTGATTCAACGTTTAATTGAACTCTCACCTCTATTATAATTGATTTTGGAAAATTACCTGACAAATTTTGATAGCCAAATTCTTCTGTTTAAAAATTATTTTACGACTTTGGGACACTAAATGTTTAACAGTGATTAAAGCGAAAAAAACCACTCCCGCAGCAGTTGCTTGTTAACTAGAAGCTATTCAGATTATGATCTCAGAACTTCATGATCAATACCATGGTGGTGATACCGTGCTAAACATTGCGCACAGGCCACCTTTTCTTCCCTGACTCTTGATTTAAATGCAGGTGGGCTTATAAACTGTCACTGACAATTGAATCTAAATCTTTCGCATTGAAAGCATAGTGCTTTAACCACTGGGCTGATCTTAAAAATGGTGAGGAATCAAAATACATATTGCCAAAAATGTTGAATTTTAAATCACAGTCGAAAATATCAATATTTTAGACTTGAACGGAATTTCTAAGGAAAGATGGTGATTCAGGGACAAATTGCACCTTTTTATATTGTTAATCTTTTCATTTAGAGAATAAAAATCATAGATGGTAACTTACAGGGTAGAACATCAGTGTAGCGATTTTTCTTAATGTTTGTAGGTTGAGATGCAGCCGTAGTGGCACAGAGTTCGGCTTCATAGGCACAAAGTGCTTCCCACTCCTTGTCAAGTCGGTCTTTGTTCTTTAAATGGTCTTCCATGTATGACTAGAAAAAAATTTAAAAAATAAAGTTCCTTTATTAGTTTTATTTCATAAAATTTTTGTTCACAATTTAGATTTTCATTGACTTTTATGAATTAAACGTTTAAGAAATACAAAAGGTATTGCAATGACTGCTCTTGAACTCAGGAAGGAAATGAAGTAAATTATTGTGTATTGTGTTGCATTATGCACTTTAACTGGCTTAAAATAGAATCTACGATTAAAAAGAAAGAACACAAAATTTTTTAAATTGTGATAAACCAATCATTCATGAATAGGGGAGCAAGAGAATGTTTCACATAATCTTAAACCAATTTATATTTTGGTATTGGAATGTATTCGCAATTTGATAAAAGAGCATCTTGTGTATCAGTTTAATTGAATCCTAATAAAATAGATATAAATTATTTAATATTTCCATTGTTCTTATTGTTGTTAATAATGATTAATCAAGGTCTTCTTTTTCATTTAATTAATTATTTATGACTCCTAATGCATAAATTTATAGTATTTAAACATTAATTTCATTTTATAAGATTAGAAATTGTATGTACTAAAGACGTCACATTCTTGCATTGTTTAGGCAATAATTGGTTAATAGCTATACTTTGGTACCTTTCATTTTGCAGGTGCTGAACTTTAAAGATCTAGATATATAGCCTAATTAAAAATTTTAAGTATTTTTTTTCATTTTAATAAAAAATGTATTTTTTCTTTAAAATTTGGAAACTTGTGTGTTTAAATGCATGTAAATTAAGTTTTTTAATCAGACGGCCAGGTGGCCGCGCGGTTAGCGTGCCTGACTGCGAATCCATAGGCTGCGGGTTCGAATCCCGTTCTGGGCATGGATGTTTCTCTCTCTCTCTTTGTGCTGTCCTCTGTTGTGTGTGTGTATGATGTGTGAATGTGGCCCACATATAATGAACTTNTCCGTGACTTTGGTTCACAGGTGCCCACTGGGTAACGCGAAATGAGCAACAATTCTGGCATAGTGTAGGCAAAGATTCAAATTCAGTGCCTGCCATTGGAAAAAAAAAGTTTTTCAATCAATAAATGCATTATTAAACCATTAAAGTTTTACAATGTGCTTAGTTTAAGGTCTACTTTTTTTAATATGACACAAATATACATGTTACAATTTCTAAAGGAAGCTTTTTATTTTACGTTTTAAATCAAATAAGACAATTTTGTTTTAAAAAAAGGCATTCCTTTCCCATTTTAAGGTATGGTTTAGTTACGAAGTACTTGCTATAAAGCAGTGTTCCCCAACCCGCGGTCCGCGGACCGGTACCGGTCCGTGGATCAAATTGTACCGGGCCGCCCATTTCATTGAAACTGAATTTAAATTCCTTGGTTTATACCCAAATAAAAAAATATCTGGTAAGGAATGGATCCCATTTGTCAACAAATCGGGCGAATCTAGCATGTCTGTGCAAGAAGAAGATCAACTGCTGGAGATTGCAAATGACGGCGGCCTTAAAACTGCGTTCTGCGGTGTTCTGGATTAAAGTCATGGCAGAATACCCTGAGATTGCCACCACAGCACTTAAATCCTTGTTGCCATTTGCGACAGCCTATTCTGCAGTAACAGCAACCAAAATAAAGCATCGGAATAAACTGGACATAAGCAACATACTTCGGGTGTCATTGTCTCCGATAACCCCCCAGATGGAACAGTCTCATTGCAAAGAAACAAACTATCAGGGTTCTCATTGATTTAACGTTCTAGTAAGTTAAAATGTTAAATCACTTCATATTTATTTTTTGGTGTAACTGTATTTTATTTTGAAGGCATGTTTGAATACAATTAAATTAAAATTAATAAATCAAAATAATCTAAAATATAAACAATCAACGCCCCCCCCCCTCCCCCGAGCGGGCCGAGGTAAAATTATCAAGCGTTGACAGCTCCGCGGTGATAAAAAGGTTGGGGAACACTGCCTTAGAGGACTTTTCCTATACACATACATTTGTGGACAGTGGCATTGCAGTGATGCTTTCTAGTGACTCGAATGCGAATTGGAGGTGATATAAATTACCTACCAGCTCTTCCGGAAGATTAAATTTTTATATTTAATGTGGTAGCAAAATTTTAGCGTTCATGCTTGATTCCTGTTTTAATACAATTTTTATTATCACTACACTTAAATAGTTGAAACGTACATAAAGAGAACCAGTTAGTTATCTTAATGTGCATTATATGATAGCTAAAAGTGAATTAAGTATATGACTACAATATCGCTCAAATAGTTGTTTCGCTAACCACTGGGAAGAAGCTTTTTTGTAGCACGCGAAAGTGGGCAAGTGTGAACTTCTGAGAAGTAAATCTATTTATTTCCAGGGGCAAAAAACTCTTTATATGTGAAAAACTACAAGCTGAGAAAAGTGGGAGTATATTTTTNAAAAATATACAGTAACAGCGTAACTGTTAATATTTTCTAAAATCGATTTCACAGCTTTAAAGAGGGATAAATAGCGATTCCGAAACACCTATTAAAAGCCTTTTTTCTTTAATATTTACAAAAGTTTGACCACTTGAAAGTTGACAAACTGAAAAAATGGGTAGACTCGCCCCGGTTTACGGTACTGTACTTTTTGAAACTGATTTAGAATTTCATTTCCTGCTTAGATTGCGAATATATTTTAATATAATTATTAAACTCAAATTATTATAATGACAGTTTTTAAAGGTTTTACAAGATAAAATTATTTTTCAAATATTTTAATACATACTTAATTAGTAAAAGCATTTTACAATCATCTAGATTCACCAAACCTCCCTAAAATAACTCGAATGAGCGGATTACTTTGGTACGGTAATGCTATGAAAGACGTTAACGAGCCAAAATAAAATATTTTACAATATAAAATAAATGTTAACATTTAACCTCTTAAATGAACGATAACATCTTTCGTTGGTAATTTTATTTTATAGATTAATTAAATAACATGCACAACGCAAAGCTCCCATTTTATGTTTATCTAATTTCGATAGTAATCTCAATAATTTTTTATCACCCCAAAGCATAATTAGCAAATAAATTCAAAATAAGATTGAGTCAAGTAATTTTGGAAACGTTTCGGTGAGAAAATACTTCAAATGTCTCAATAAGGTAATTGAACGATACAAGTTGCAAAACCTAAAAATTTCTATGTTTTAAAAACGATATAAAATATTTCCGAGCTATTTTTTAAACGTATCAAAATGTAAATACATATTTACGTAACGTATCATAATATGAATAAATATTTATTATAATGATTATAAAGCAATTGTGCAAAATTTTTGAATTAAATATATAGTTATTTCGAATTTTAATATGTAGTTTAATCAAAAGACTCTATTGTTAAACATTAAGAATATGCATAAGGTCTATTTCGAGTTTTAAAAAGTTTCATGTATAAATGTAATAAGTTTAAATTATCTTACAAGGAAATATTTCTTAATGTTTCCTACAAGATATTTTAAGTCTTGAAACATAAAGTATTTTAAAATGCTCAAACCAAAACCAGCATTTTTTTTACGAGAGGATGTGTGTTGAAAAATCTCTATTTTTAAAAGATCAATCAAAACTTTTCCTTCCTAAGAGCATTTGTAAAAGATTTTGTCTTTATTCTAAAAAAGAATGTATGTATTTCGTAATATCACTTAAATTCAAGTCCCTCAAAACAACTGAAAATAGTCTTCTAATAAATACCGATTTAGCAGCTCCTATTTACGAGCACGTTTCAATAAAAGCAGTCTCTACCACAGACACAGCCATTGGTTAAAGAACAAAAAATAAACCACCGCTGAAACGTGATTCGAATAAAAATCTTAGGATCCAGAGTCCTGGAAAAGATTTAAGAAAAGTAGCACAGAAGTGATATCGAACTTTTCCATTCGAAGAATTAAATACCTCAGAAAACGGAGTAAGCCCTGCTCTCCATCATAATTCTGATTTTCAAATGCTGCCTCGAAAATCCCTAGCATTCTTCTGCGACAGATGGCACGAGTCTGGAATCCCATTTCAAATCTTTTAAGATAGACGGGTGAGGAGATTTAAAGGATCCTTTAAGCTTGTTTTACATGAAAAGGATTTGGTTAGGTCTTCTTTTACATAGCCTCAGACTTAACCCGCTAATGGGGTTGACATGGTTTCATTACTAGTTAAGCTCGATTCTACAAATATTTTCATTAACATATTTTCTCTTTCACACTTGTCCTTCTGAATTAAACTAAAACTTTGTTTCTAACCAGCAAAACAAAATTGTCTCAGTAATGGAAATTTATAATTTCCATTTTTTTTTCTTTTTCATTTTTTAAATTTTTGTTTAATAGTTTTTTCTGAAACAGTGTGAGAAATAATTTATTATATTTTATTCCAAAGGTAAAAAAGATGGAGGTGGAAGATTTAAACGGTACATTTAGATAATTTGTGAGATATATGTTCAAAAAGTTAAAAGTAATTTTTTTTAAAAAGATATATTTGTAAGCAATGATTTTTTTTTTGAATTCTAATTAAATAATCTGTTTCAAGTTTCATAAACTATAAATTGCTCTAATTAGGGTACTTTTTACCGAAAAATTAATTTTCACTATTAAGGAGCAAATAATCTGATACACCGTAATTTTTACAGTAATAATTACTGTAAAATCATCACAAAATCACTCTAATTAAATATGTATTACTATCAAGAAATTACGGTATAATATCTTGCGATAAAATGGAGTTTACAGACAATGCACCCAAAGTGCCGGTACTTTGCACTGTAATTTGATTCGGAATTTTTCACAGTTTAGTTTAATGATACCATTTTATGATACATCAATTAAACATTAAAATATTTTATTTCTTTCTCCTCATCTATTTATTAAATGCGAAAGTTAACAGGAAAATGAAACAAGTGTAAATATGTGTGCTTTTAGGAAAATAGGTGCAGCATATCTTGCTCTTAAATATAGCTTGATCTATAATAATTAGTAAAAAAATACCCGGATGCCCCCTTTGGTGGCGGGACGGGGTTTAGCAATAAATATTGAACTATAATAATGATATTCCGAATCAGAGTATCGGTATCTTGATTTCTAACATAAGTAAAATTGCTAAAACTTAAAAATGCGTATAAGAAATACCTGCTTTTGTTTAAGTGCTAATTAACATCGTGCAATCAAGTTTTAAATGAGATGATTTACAATATGATATTTTACTACTTCGGACCTGTTTAAGTTAACATCATATTTGCATTATTTTGAGGTTCGAAGCTATTATAAAAATGTTAAGAATTGTAGAAAAGCTGAAATGCTTCTTTGTTCATGGCTTTAGTTGTAATTTTTATTTTTACGAATCTTTAGCGAGTTCATTGCATATAAAATGTTAGTATATAAATTTTTATGAAAAATGTACGGAGGAATGTTTCCTTCTCTATAGTAGTGATACTTCTGGTAAAAAAAACAGTATTTCCAGTTTTAAAACCATCTTTAGCAATTCATTTGGAAGTTTTTCCATGTAAATGGTAACGGTTTACCAGAAATTCTGTTTTTTTTTTAAATTATAGTTCTTATTAACACATATTTATTAAAGAAAATACAAAACTGATAGTTAAATTTAAACCAATTAATTGGATTTAAAATTGTTTGTAGAGTTACTGATATGTTCCCAATTTGAGGATGAATATTTCAGTCATGAGGCAATAAATAGTTTTTATTTTAGTTGTGATATACAATTCTTCCGTTTCTAAAAAATCGATCTGAAATTAGAAAATTTCTTGAGAAATTAAAATCAAAAATAATCTGTTTGAGGAATATAGTATGTCTATATAGTGAGAAATATAGTGTAAACTATTATCTTGCATTTAAAAAGTATAAATAATTTCATAACTATTTACTAAAACAAATTAATTAGAAGAAACAAATAGTGCTGAAAGAATTTATCTTTTAAGAGATATCTTATCAAAAGGAAAGAGGAAAACAATCTCAATTCTAGGATGTTTGATGGTATATTAATAAACCTGGGTAGTGTTATGATAACCCATTCAATCATGACAGACAAAGTCCAGTGACTAATCATTAATAACTTAAGCTTATCTTTAGAGTATTAAATATAAATTAAAAAATAAATAAAAAATAAATAAAAAATCACGATTAAAAACAACTTCAAACTTAAAATTAGTGGATATTAACAACAGATTAACAAAATGTGTAAGAGGCAAAAAGTAATCAAGGTTAGATTCATGTTACTTTAGATGACAGTTTTCTATTTAAAAAAATCTATACATTAATTAGAATTTGAATTAGTTAAAAGTAAATGTGTATTCAAATTTGGGAATGAATTAATAGACGTTTTATCAGTAAAATATTAGTTTAAGGAAAACAGATGCTTGCCAAAAGTGCTTCATTTGTATAGTTTATGAAGCTCTGTTAAGCTCAAATAGAGCTTCATAAACTCTACAAAGCTTAAACTTATTAAACTTAAGCTCAAAAAAATTTTTAGTTTATTAAAAATTAATTGTAAGAAATTAAAATTAAAAAAAATATAGTTAAAAAAAATAATACATAAAATTAAAAAAAAGTTCTTTTGAAAGTTTGTTTGCTTAGAATACGTATTATTTCAAGTTTTTCAATTAATATTTATGCTATTAACTCATTATTTTAGTTGTAAAGTTAATTTATTCGCAAAAAAGGAATAGTTGCATATATACACTTTTTGTATTTTGCTTCCTTACAAAACAGGACTTGACTTCAGTCATATAAATAACATCATATATTCATTTTCGATTATAGATCTTTTTCTGCTATTAGTTGAAAGTCTGATAAATTTTTTGATAAATTGTTAATCTAGGTGAATCATTTCACCAGCCTACCATCCGCATTTGAACATAAATTAATGCATACTTTGTGTTCACTGATTTTCTTGAAATAAGAATTATATCAATTTTAATTTATTATTGTATCATTAAGCTGGAACATCCTAAGGCAGTGGTTCTCAATTTTTTTTTTCGGAAGCAAAGTCCTAAATAATCAACCTCCTTTCGGCGGAACCCCGATTTTTCAAATAAAGTTTATTAAGGTTATTGTGAACGTTAGAGTCTAAAAAAATTATTTTCAAAATATATAATTAAATGAATGAAGATTTTTCATCGTTTTATCATTAAAAACCTTAAATTAGGTTATCTTAAATTAGATTTCTTTTCGACAGTTAAATTTGCAGTTCTTTTGCTACAACTACTATAGTTATGAATTTGTTTTTGTTGTATGTACATAAGCGAGAAATGAATAAAATAAGCCGAAAACGAAACTTAAAAGAACAGCTATAAATATTGAAAATGATAATTAGGTGAAACATACTTTTTTCTTAAAGAATTCAGCAATTTTATTTTGATTTGAAAAGCTCGATAAGAAAAAAAATACTAATGCAATATTTAATAAATGCTTGTTTTTTTTCATAATTTTTTTCATATATTGCAATTAGGAATATTATATTTCCTTTCGAAAAATGCATTTATACTTCATTACTTTAACATTTTATTTGAAATAATTTCATAAAGGTAATCGAAAGATTAATAAATTATGAATTATAGGTTGAATCTAATAATTGGAGATTTCAGAACTCATTACTGGTTATTTATTAAAAGTACTAACTTACGGAACCTCTTTAACTCTTTAACGGAACCCTAGGGTTTCACGGAACATCATTTGGGAACTGATTTTCTAAAGCATCAGAACATGCCACATATGGAAAAGCAAATAGTGAAGAAAATGCTTTATATTCTGAAAGTCGTATAACAAATTCAGAAAAAGCAATTCTATTCAAGAAGTACAGATTTTACTGCTCTATAATCTTTTTAACAAAAATTAAGTTTTCATTTTAAAAGTAAAATAACTTATTTTAAATTTTTATTTTTATTTATTTATAGCCTATTTTGTATGAACTGTATATATTTATGATAATTTTAAGGAAATAATAATTTTTGACAAACAGCCTGATTAAATAAAGATAAAAAATAAACAAATCCAATTGATAACTATCAAAAAGTATATTGTTTATTTCTGACTGTTCAGTAAAACTATTTTTAAATTTGATACTGCAAAACTAAACTCCTTTTCTTTTAAACTTGTTTGCAATACTTTACTTTAGAAGCAAGCATAAAATGATATTGAGCAATAGAGTAAAGCAGGAGAGTAATGTTTACAAAGAGCAGATATCAAAAAAAGACTTTTCAAAATAGACAGGGTAGCCTGAATAATGTACGGATTGTAAGAAAAGTGATGCTTAGCTCTCTCACCATGACAACGTGATATAGCAACATGTGAATTGTTACGCCTTATGAGAATAATCCATCTTTCATAGTATGCCATGCTTGAAGATGATTTGTTTTGAGTGTGAAAGCTATTTTTTTTCTCTGTAAGAGAATATTTTGTTGCAAGGGACTACAAACGTTTAGTCATTTTTCCCTTTCTTATTTTAAAGAGGTTTACCTGCAGTTAAAAAATATTCGTTTACCGCTAAAAAGTTAGACTTAAGGAATACGATCGATATATTCGCTATCTAGAATAGAAAAAATCATCAATTGCTGTAAATTGTTGGAATTTCGGGCATAAATTCATTTTCGACAGTGCAAAAAATATTTCCACCCCAGTCCCGTTAGCTTATCTTGATAAACTGGTATCCAGTTTTATTCATATGAACGTTGATTCCCTTCTTAATGTCATTAGTTCCTCACCACATCAAAGCACGGAAATGCATTTTACCTTTATTTGCCCCTCTCGGCCATCGTGTTTTCTCTTTTTCTGCTTTTCATATTTTTCTCTCTCGTCTACTGTGGTATTTCTAGCTTGGTTTCTCACCTTTATTTTTCCATTTTCCTTTGGCAACTTTACTTTTATTTTTCAAATCAATTTTATTTCTTCTCTTTGAAATCTGGCAAGTTTTGAAAATGAGCGCCTGTTTTTGAGCGTTTGAAATATGTCTACCATTATTTCCAATCTTTGTATTTCTGATGTAAATGATGTTTTTAATCAAGTGATGTGTTTACAGCATTAAAGATGCAACCTTTTCGTCATTTTATAAAGTTAAATATCTCTTTTTTCGTGTGTAATATAATGATACTCAAACTCTTTTGTCGAAATCATTCAGTATTTGTCTAATGTTGGAAATATTATATAAAAGTAAGTTAATTTTTTTTTGCATTGTATTAATATAAAGTGAGTTCAGAATTGTCACTTGATAGAAAAAAAGACTAAATGTAATAGATTTCTACTACGCACAACTCTAAGTGAGGACGTTTCTAATTGGACTAAATATGTTTTTCTGTTTAAACATATCACAGCAATATACAATAATCAAGCAGTTGGTTATTTTTTCGTAGTAGCAAACCTATTACCAGTATTAAAAATTTATTTTGTAACATAGATCATTAATTTCATCATGTTCCTCTAAATGATCATAGATTTTATTATTATGGTTAATAAATTCAATAGATTGATTATGATATTCAAACACTTGATTTACAGTTTGAATCATTCGACCCAACAAATCTTTTTATATAAAGAATCACAAGCTTTTTTCCCCAAATTAAATTGTCACATGAAACTTTCGTTTTAAAATATACAGTTTAAGCAAAAATGTTTAAAATTCTTAAAAAATTGTCAATGAATTGAGCATGATTTTCAAACACTTGATTTCTAATATGCCCAACAAGTGTTTTGTATACAAGTATTAGATGATTTTTAAATGTAATTGATTCAATAAAACATCCATCTTAAAGGCTAGTTTTAAGATGAAATTTCTTTGAATTCCAAAAAAATAAATGTCATTTCAAATCAAGTGCCATTTCAACTTTTTACCAATATTAATAACTTATTTCGTAAGAAAAATCATTAATATCATCAAATTCCTCACATTGATAATCGATTTTTTTACTATGGTCAGTAATTTCAATTAATTGATTATGATTTTCAAACACTTGATTTTCAGTTTGAGTTCGACGTAACAAGTATTTTTGTATAAAGAATTATGAGTCTTTTTTCCGAAAATTTTGTTTCAAAGGATACATTTTAAGCTGAAATTTTTTTTGAATTCTAGCGAATGTCGAACACTTGGCTTTCAGTTTCAATTACTATATCGAGCAAGTCTTTTGTATGCAGAGTATTAAAGTTGTTCTTCAAACAAAATTGATTCAAACAATTTAAACAATTGAAATTTAATTTTAAGCTGGATTATTTTAGGCTGAAATTTCTTTGAATTTAGAAAATAAATAAATGTCATTTCAAATCGAATAAATTGAAAATTTATTTTAATATTTAAATTTTATTTACTTCTATTTGAAAATATTGACAAGCGAATATTCATAAATTGCATTGCCTTAATCTTAATGAATTTACTTGACGGTGCTTCTAGGAACCCTTTCCTAGGATGCAGATAATTCATAGAACAATTTATTTCCATTACTCCTGCGCTGAGAGGATTACTAATAACTCTAGCAGAATTGAAAATGCTTGTATATTAATAAATTTGAGGTCTACTTCCATTTCATTGATTGAGACTTAATTCTCTCCTCAATCGGGTTTCTAAATATGGGGTTTTAAATATGCGCTAAGGGAATTATAATCCGATTGGAAAATGGGCGTAGCGTATAATAAAAGGATATTTTGATCTGTTTCCGGAATTGGTATTCGACTTTCCATGTGGATTAAGGACGCAGTAATGCATTCCATAAAGAATTTCTGTTTTCTATTTAGAAGACATTTGTTGTTTAGATTTTGAAATGAAATAGAATGTTGACAATTTTGAACAAAGGGATTAGGTCTAGCTGTTTATTGTACAATATAAATCTTCTTTTTCCAGTTTTCACGAGTAAAAGCTTGTGGCTAATCGCTTGTGAACAACTTATATATGCTTTAAACCTTAATCATAAGTTTAAGTCTTTATCATTTAATGTTTAATAGCTTTTTGCCTTTTTGATTCGTTTTAGTGTATCTGAAATATTTAAATACAAAATTGTGAATGTGAAATGAAATAGATATGCTCTTATTTGCTAGCTTAAATAAAACTTATTTAGTTACTTTCTAAAAGTAGCAACAGTAATTTAAGAAGATAATATGCCATTGTTGAATTGTTAAGTTGAAGAAAAAAATCAGGGAAACACTTCTAAACTGACATTATAATGATAATTCATTTCTATACATATAATCCTTTAAAACCTACTATAAATGCTTACTTTTGACCGCTGTTCTTTGTTATACATCTCAAGTTTTTGAAAAAAGAAGAATTAACTGAAAGATAAGAAGATTTTTATAAAAATTACTTAAGTACTCTCACTATGAATCGAGTATTGCTGCTTAAAAATAAATTTTCAATTTCGTTTTTTCAATCAAACTGGTGATGCATTTCTTTTCACAGAGCTTAAAAATATCTTTTAAATAGGTAAATACAAAACTGAATGGTTTTATATTTTCCTTTTCAGAATTAAGTTGAAATTTAATTCCTCAAATATACACTAATATTTTGCACATCGCGGTAATGATATTTTAAATTAGTAAGCATAACCTATTTTTTTCTAGTCTTTAGAATTGTACTTAAATGCGAGATTATCTCCGAGAAGATAATTTATAAAGGAGATGATGTACCTACCATGAAGAAGTAGATGAATGGCTTGATGAGCTTGCTTGGCCTTCTTGAGATAAACTCCGAATCTTTTTTGGTGAATGGACAGTGTGAACTGGTTCTGGTTTTTCATTGGCTTTACTAGCCATTCGCTGTCTGCAGAGGTCCTACAAAACATTTATGTAAAATAAAACTCATAAATATTTAATTTCCGGATTCGGGAAAAGAGCATTTAATAATTTGAAAAAATTTAGATATGTACTGATATTCCCCTTTGAAGCAATTTAGATATGTACTGTTGGTTCCTCGTTTGGCGTGAACAGTTTATCATTGTACCTAGAATCGTTACTAGAAAATAAGTTTTACTCTAAAGCAGCATAAGTGATTTAACCATTGCAAAATTATAATTTTGAATGTTTATGTCAATATTGAATTTTACCCTAAAATATATTTACTTTGGGAGAACTTTGAGCACATTTAAGAACTAAAACATCGATGGAATAATTTTGAGAAAAAAAGTTTCTCCTAATATGAGTTAGGAAAAATAAGGTGAACTGGACCAAAGGTTGCTGCTATCGCATCACTGCATTGAAAAAACAAGTAAAATTCATCATGAAATGTGTGATAAAGCAATCTTAAACCGTGCTTACTTCTTTATTGCAACTACCTGTACTATTGCGTTTTTATGGTGGGAAGGGTTTTGTAGGGCTGGTGGAATGTATGGTGGGACATTTATTTCTTGAACATTATTATCGGAATAAGATATAAAAAACTCGATGCTTAAAAGGTAAATATCGTCATGCTGATGATTTATCTCACCAGTGATTGGTATTTTTAACAGAATAATGCTTCCTGTTATACTGCAGATACTCTAAAACATAAGATCGAAGAACGTAATAACGACTTTACATTGTTAAATTGACACCCAAATGCACGGATCTCAATCTTATGGAGTATGTATGGGAGGAAAGTGAAAAGGTACACACATTCATCCAGTCTCACACTGTTAGAAAATGCAATGTTTGAATCATGGTTTCAGATACCGCAAGTGACCTAAATGTAGGAAAATATAGGTCAAGGAGAATCAAGGCTGTTTAAACGAAAAAGATAACCAATCGAGATTTTGAGAGACAGGTCAAAATAAAGCAAACTCTCAAGAGTTAACCATAATGTAAACATTCAAGCTCTAATTTCATGTTTTAAATTTATTTCACTAATGCTACTAACGGAGTAGTATTCACTAAATGCCTTAGAATCAGAGTAATATTATAGTAACACTGAAAATCGCTCAGTGTAATTGAGGAATATGTATCATTTTAATTTCCTTCAAATTATAAGCCTTCTCGTTATAACGAACTGGTTATTTCAACTGAAGTTCTCCCAAAAATAAAGGGATGATTTCATTTCTTTGTTCCACTTCAAATGTAAGTCTTTTCAAAGTGAACCGAGGAAATAATTTAAAGGTAATTGTTTCCAAACAACAGCGTCAAATATCGAAAAGCCTGCTTACTCCTGAATGAAAGCGATACTTTAAAACTGTATTGCAACTCATTGTGTGGTAGTTCCTTAAAATAGGACTTCTCCATATGCATTTATTATGCCAGCCCATACCACAACAGCACCACCGTTGATAAATACATCTGTTACGATATGAGAGCAGGAGGCAGAGGGAGCAGGATTTCATACGCTCCAGTTGATAAAGCATGTGACGTGTAAAATAATGAGGAGAAATGTAATGCCAATTAGAGTAAGGGGTGCAAGCGATTGAGATAGGGTGGACTGGAAGGAGGGTCTTGAAGTTTAACAGATCCTTCACGAGTGTTTGTTAACGTTTTCGACCTGCGTAGCATGAAATCTTTTCCACCGGCTCTCCGTTTCCCATTCAGCAGCTCAGAAAGTCATCTCATTTTCACACTAAGAATTCTTAGTATTCCGGAAGCTTACTGTTCTATTTGCTAAGGTACGCATTTATCTAGACTGCCCTATTCGCCGTCTACGGGAGTATTAAATCCACAATGCATGAGAATGAAAAGGGGGCATTCCTTATCGAGATTAGAATGGAATTTGTCCATTGTTTAACCGCCTAATCGTGGAATTGGTATAAAAGCATCACTACGTCTTTACGTTGTCTTTGCATTTTCCACTATGTGAAGCATAGACTTAAACAAAAGAAATTAATTTCGTTAAAGGTTTTAATTTGAGAAAAGAAAAATAGAAGAATTTACGGATTAAAACTGAACTCATTTATAATGAAGTGAGTTATGCTAGTATTAATGCTTGATTTTGTTATTACAGCTTTAAATTTTCTTATGTATTATTTTTTTATCATTAAAATTTTTATTATTATGAAAATTTTTATATTATTTTTAGTGCGTAAAATTTCTTGGTCAAAAAATTTCTAATGGTGAAATATGTAATTCATTTTGTGAAAAATATTTACCGATATATATACCGATCATGAAACAAAAATGGTGGTCATTTTTTTTAGTAAAGATTAATTCTTGGTAGTATTAATAATAGCTTCAAATTTCATAATTTACATTTTAATGTTGTTATTTAAATTATTAATATAATTGTGTAGGTTTTTGATACATTTAGTATTTAAAAATTCTTTGTACGAAACCATTCTCCTGAACATATTTAAGATAATTTTTATTTTACATTAAATGAAATTTAATTTTAGGTAAAATTAACATTTTATGTTAACTTAATAAATTTGCAATTTCTCCTTTTTTCGAATAACAAAACATAAAAAGGAAGTTACCGAGAGAAGGACCAAAAAAAAAAAAGTAAATAAAAGCTTAACTTAATAATTTGAAAAGAAATTAAATCCAAAAAGTGGTAAAATGTTTTGACCTCTAATACTAATTTTACTTTCTGCGTATTTTGCAATATCACGAAAAAATTTTAAAAGGATAAAAAATTTGTGCTTATAATAATAGAATTCGTTTATGCAAAATATAATTCAATGCAAAAATGATCTTTAATAACAATTTATTCCCTTTTAATTATTAATAAAACATTTGTCAAGAACATTTTGAAATATAATGTATTAAAATTTTTGCATCGTTTTGACGAATGTAATTTAAGAGAAAAAATACAAAATTTGATTGAAATTTATCGACTAGTTTCTTGAGTCTCTTAAAAACACAAAAAAACATTAAAGTTTCACTCTTTAAAGAAGTTTCATGTTTAAACTTTAATTTCTCAAGATCTATTTGACCTACTCTGTTTAATTTTTTTTCTATTTTACCATTGAAAATTGCATTCTTTAAAATGATATAAAAACTTGTATACCTTAAAATTCATATATTTTCGACTAAATAAAATAAATTAATAAAAAAATAATTATAAAATAATAATAAATAATAAATAATTATTAAAAATTGATTTTTTTTACATGGAATCAATGTACTTTTTGATTTACCCCGTCGTCCAAGTAGAATTATTTTCATTCAGTAAGAGTCACAATAAATGTTAACAGACACTAAAAAAGGGATTAAACAATAAAATTGTGATCCAAATTTCAAAAATGAAGAGGAATGCTTAGGAAGAGCCTAAACGGTCTCTATTCGTTACACATTGAACCGTCGTTCAAATGCAAGTGTCTCAATAGAGCACCTTTAAACACACACTCATTATATAGTCTGGACTTGAATTCCACCTGTTCCTAAATTTAAAAGAACATTTGGCCAAAGAAGCTCTTGAATATATTAAAAAATGGGGTTGGAACATGGTAGAAAATTGATATGACACGGGCATACAAAAATTGTTACAGCCTCTTCAAAAATGCTTCTATCGATAAGGGATAATAATAATAAAAATAAAAATAATATTTTTAAAAACCACGTTTTTGTAGTGGAGAATAATAATTAAAAAACAAAAATTTGAAAAACGAAAAACGTGGAGCGCATGAAATATATAACAGTAACAGTATGTGTGCTCATAAGAATATACGTATGTATATCTGTAATTGTATCTGAATGTGGATGTGGTTGTGCATGTGTATGAGTAAGAAAATGTGTATATGTATGTGTATATGTACTGTTCTGTATTTCATGCGCCCACGTTTTTCATTTTTCAAATTTTTGTTTTTTAATTATTATTCTCCACTACAAAAACGTGGTTTTCTAAAATATCATTTTTATTATTATTATTATTCTTGTACTCACTTCCAAAATTTAAATTTTTTCATTCACTGTACACAAAACTTTTCAATTGACATGTGGCACTAATTTGAAATAATCGAATCGACAATAAAAGACAATTGCGAAAATATTAATTTTTCTTTAATTTTATTTTACTTTGTATGCCTTTTTTCTCTTCATTTTCATGCATTGTCATCGAATTCTGAACTATGTGCCAAATTTGAAGTCTGTAGCTAGTCGGGAAGTTAGTTTAAAATTGATTACAAAATTCCACCAGAACAGACGTACACGAAGGCAAGTTGATATAAACGTGGTAAAATAGGTAAATGTTCAACTTCGAAAATGATGTAAATTTTTTAGAAAAATTTTTTTTTCACATATTTTTTTAAAATAAGTAGGGATTTTCGTTTTGATCCTGCACTCGTATTAAGATATATTTTGAAAAACATATTAAGAGAAAGCGTTGACATAAGTTGTCTCATAAAATGTGTTACTAATAATCTATTGGGATGAAGGCTTTAAAATTATATAAGTATTAGAGTTTTTAACCTGACAGTATTAATAATCATACTATTTTTCCAATTGTTGAAGTAATGTAGTATTACTTACAAAACGATCTACAGATTTGATGTTAAGTTTTGAATAAAAGAATAAATGTTTAGATTTTCATTTTGTGAATTATAAGTAGACATTTTAAAAATAAGAAAACAGTTTAAAATTACTTTAAAATGCTCAATAACTTGAATTCTTCTATTTAATGAATTCTAATTGAATAAGTTTGGAGAATGCAAATTTTCTTAAGAATTTAGATTTTAGGTACTTCAAATTTCTGAGTAAACAATGACAGCTGTTGTGTATGATTCTATTTTTAAACTTACATCCATAAATATTTTATTCAAAAATGGTTTTTAAATTATCACCGAGTATAGCATTCATCTCACGGTTTTTACTTGGGGCATAAACCTTAAAAAATAAACCTTCTGCTAAAGTTAAGTAAAAAGGAGTAAAAATACAAAACACGTCTCTTCACAGACCCTCTCCTGCCTCATTGAATGGAAAGAAAGAGGCATCTTTCATATTATTTTCTAGAGGTGAGTGGAATATTTAAGTGCTATGTTAGATCGTATAAGATCGAAGGCACATATTTAAAATATATTCCTGTTTGGACTGTGGTAAAAGATAAACTGGCAACAGCTTTTCTGAAAGTTAAAAAATTATCCTCAATCAAACTGGAAAAAAAATATGAATCTTTATAAATGGTTATAAAATACCCTTCAATAATTTTTATATAATTAAAGAGATTGGGACAATTATTGACAACGTGATGTATTGGATTGTATCCTATCTAGGATGTGAATGTTGTGTTACATCGTAATAGACCGACCTAACGGAATAGAATAGATCTTACACAACAGTCACCTCGTAACTGTTGTGTAAGATCGTATAAGATCAAAGGTACTTATTTAAAATGGATTCCGGATTAGGCAGTGGTAAAAGATAAACTGGCAACAGCTTTTCTGAGAACTAAAAAATTATCCTCAATCAAATAGAGAAAAAAATATGAATCTTTATAAATGGTGATTAAATATCTTTCAATAATTTTTACATAATTAAAGAGATCGGGACAATTATTGACAACGTGATGTATTGGATTGTATCCTATCTAAGATGTGAATATTGTGTTACATTGTAATAGACCAACTTAACGTAATAGAATAGATCTTACACAACATTTACGAGGTGACTGTTGTGTCTTATTTAATATAAATTCCGGATTAGGCCGTGTTAAAAGATAAACTGGCAGCAGTTTTTCTGAGAGCAAAGAATTATCTTCAATCAAATGTAATAATTATTGGCGAAAAAAAAAGATAAATCGTTTCAATGATAAGAAACCCCTTGAGCAATTTTTGTATAATTAAAGAGCTCGGGACAACTATTAACAAAGTGTTGTGTTGGACTGAATCAGAATGAAGGTGTGTATGTTGTGTGAGATCGTATTGGATCAAAGATACATATTTAGAATATATCTATGTTTAGGTTGGGGTAAAAGGTGAACGGGCGAAAGCTTTTCTAAGTGCAAATAAATTATCCTCAGTCACATGTGATGATTATTGGCAATAAATGATGTATATTTACATCTTTACGATGATGATAAGGGAACCTTGATAAATTTTTATGTAACTGAAGAGCTACGGGCTGTTATTGGCAAAGTGCTGTGTTAGATCATATTTGATCAAAAGTGTGACTTTTGTGTTAAATCATATCAAAAAGGAGACACATATTTAAAATATATCTTCGTTTGGGCTGTGGTAAAACATGATCCGTCGACAGCTTTTCTTAGAACATATAAATTGTCTTCAGTCATATGCAACAATTATTGGCAAAAAAATGTGTATCTTTACTATGATGATAAAAAAATACCTTGATCAATTTTTGAATAATTAAACAGCTCGGGGCTTAAAATTTATATTAGATCTTAACAGATCAAAAGTGCATATTCAATCTATATTCATGTGTGGGCTGTGATAAAACATGAACTGAGGACAGCTTTTCTCAGCTCAAACAAATTATTCTCAAATGTAACATTTATTGGAAAACAATGAGGAATCTTTACGCTGATGATAAAAAACCTCGAACAATTTTTGTAAGATTGAAGAGTTCGGGGGCATTAGTGACTAATTGATTTTAATTTGAAAGTGAGAAAAATATTTTATTTCCATGTTTTTCTTAATTTTTAGGGAGATTCTAGTATTTGCTTAATTTGTTGTTTACCAAAACTTTTTGAAGTACGTTATATACAAAATGCTTTAAATGACACAGCCAAATGATATATGCAAAGCAGGCATACAAAAAAACAGAAAAGTCGCATAGAATTGCAGAGTATCAAACGTTTTCCGAAATTGCTAAAGGGTGTTGCAAAGTTTACATTAAATACATTATACACCAAACAAAGAAAAATGAATAATTTTGATCATTTTTATTTTTTTCCTTCTTAGTTCTGAACTGTACTGTAGGAGATTCTTAAAGGTTCTGATAGATGTTTGTATATTTTCCTTGAATATTATATATATAAATTGTGACCCCATCTGAAAAGTGGCAATTTTTGTTCTTTTCTTTTGTTCTTTCGCGTTCAACTTTTGTTCTTTCGTTTTCATTCTTTTTGTATGCATGCTTTGAGTTTTTATTTTGGGCACCTTGTTTTGAAACACTCTGTATAAGTAATGTGTATGGAAGTACTACATATGAATTTCAAGTACTTATGACTTGTTGACATACCTGGTAATCTTGACTAGCTTCGGTATCGGGTTGGGTCATGTTGTGTAGTTTTTCTCTGGAGCGAGTATGTCGCCGAACTAAATATGCTGTACCTGCTGCTAGCACTACGCCAGCTACGGCTCCACAAAGAGCGAATGCTATGATAAACATTCGCTTGTCTTTTTCGGGATTTATGACTTCGTATTTTACCTAAAACAATGGAACCCAATTACAGATTTATGGATCACTAATACTGAAAACATGAAATTAGTACAATAACATATAATTTTAAAAATATGATATAAATTACTATAATATGATATTTGATGCTACAAAATATTGTATTTGTTCTATATTTAGTTGCTGTTACGTGATTAAAGAGTACTGGTACAGAATGTATAATTTATAGTATTATTTAGTTTCGTACAGTTTGGAGGAAAAATTCGTGCAATTGAATTGCAAAAAAATTTTGTAAAGAGATTTAGAAAAAAAGTTTTTTTTTCAGCAAAAAGTCGCTAAGACTGTCTTTCTTTTCCTCGATCAATGATTTAGGAATTTATTTAACTATGTTAATTGCTGTAACCATTACATGGATTACAATGTCTTTAAATGTTTGTGATAATTTCGTTTCATAAAAATTGTTCTTATTTTGTCTAGCTAATGTTTAGAAAAGTTTAATAATATAGCACATTACTTAGAAGCAAAACTTTTATTTTCTAACACTCCATTAATCGTTAATCTCAACACTGCACTTCAAAATAAATTTCTCTTTCATTTTCTCTTATTTTTTATAACACAATGCCGTTACCAAGATAGTCTTTATTTATTTAACAGCTTTTAGAAAAGGAAAAAGAAAGAATAATCTTAGATATCATGTTTCAGACTCCATTAGTGACAATAATTCCACGAATTAATCTGATAAAACGACAGTGCAATTATTTTAAAAACTATAAAAGGCCAGATGAAAAAGTTAAGCCGTTTGAACAGAAAGCAGAATGGAGATAAAATCCCGTTCTAAACAATTGCGAACAAATTCATTCTGAAATAGTGCCTGTCTCCCAAGAGCGGCATGAACTCTTGGATGAAATTCTAAGCTCAGCTCTATGTCTTTATTTTTTTTACCCGGGTATTTTCTTCATGCCAGCTTATACTACATAGAATGAGTGAGTAAAAAAGAAAGAGCAGCAAAGGTTGGGTAAAAGAGATGAGCCTGAACAAGGGATATTGAAAAAATCTACCCGGAAAGCAATAGCTGTAATGGCCTATGGCTTTGTAATTGATATCAGAAATAGGTTTTCGTTTTCCTTCCAATATTTATTTTATCTAAGGCAACATAAAGAGGAAATGTATGACGAGTTGCCTTCTAGACTACCAAAGACGATAAAGAAGAAAACAATGTTTTAAAAGCAATGATGGGGATGGGAAATATCAAAACATTCTAGGGAAGATTGCGAAAAGGTATAAGATTTCAATTCCCGCCTTATATAAAACGGTTTAGGTAGATACTGAATAAAATTATTTTGTCAGAGGTATGATAATTTTTTTAATTTTCTAAAAACACAACATGAACTGTGGAATGAGGTATATATTGTTTATAGGATGAATGATTGTGTACTGCTTTTCATATGTACACTTTTTAAAAGCATACTGTGTTTAAAAGTATGGTGGATATTTAGCTGCATATGAAGACGTGTAAATATCCTAAGAAGTTTTAGCATGTCAAGTTTGCAAGATGTGACATTAGTTTTTCTTTGGCTGTTGTAAATAAGGGCAATTTTTTATTTCTGAACTTTCAACATATTTCTGAAAGTCATGATAAAAGCTTTCCGAAATTGCATACGTTATAAAAATATTTATAATCATAGTTTATAAGAAACCTTTTCATATCACATTATTAAAATTGTTCAGTTTATTCAATCAAAAATCATCAAATTAATTTCTTTAAGCACAAAAATTAAATTAAGCAGTGTGTACCAAAACTAACTTAAGCTTGGAAGACAAAATATTTTTTCAAAATAAAAATAATAAACCTGATATTTCTGTTCTTATAAAAACATTTTCGAGGATGAAGTTAAAAGCTATTACGCAACAAAAGATGAGTGCATTTAAACCGCACCCAACAAGCAGACTAGTTTTTGACGATTTTAGTTTTTAGAATCCCTTTTGCCCTGATTGACCTTGACTATGATTCCTCAATAAATATCGTTCTGGTGTTTCATCTTTTATTTTGTCTGGATGATTTTAAAAGAGTTCATTTGAAAACGCATATTTTATACTAGGAATGAAATATTTCCATTCTGCAAACCATTTTTCTAAATACACTACCCTGGATGGGCGGACAGAGGGGGTAAATTCTTTAATTTTGCACACACTCTTTCCTTCCTCCCTTGTGCCATGATCTTGAGCTTCTCTTTCTCCTTGGGTTATGATGCATAAATCACGGAATGATGGCATAATTGTCAAGGCATGCCGTTGATATAATTGGTCTGAGGGGATTGCGTCAAGAAAGGAAGGGTACACAACACTATCCGTCGTCACGTTACATGCGGATATAATTTTTCCGGATGTGAAGTTGTTTGGGGTAGCGCCGAGGAATGAAAAAGAACTATTGGATATTTATTTCCGTTATCATTTTTCATGTTCGGTTCAGTGGACTATTTTAACGATGCCTCATTATAACCCATTTGGAAGCTTCTCTTTCCGCTGGTTAGAATTTGTGAAAAGGAAAATATTTTTCCTCCTGCTTTAAGCGGTAAATGTATCTCTCTTCCCCAGAGGCGTCAGATTGTTTTCAATTAATATCTATTACAAGATGCTTCAATGTAAAGTTAGAAGGAGGAAAAAAAAACTAATAGTTTTTGTCTGAATGGGAAATAATATATAAAAAAGCTTAAATTATGAAGTAAATTATGGAAGAAAGCCACTAAAATTTCTGCTAATTTGAGTGAATTAAAGTATTTATTTCAATTTTTACAAATGCATATTTTTCCAGTTAATAAATATTAAAAAAATATAATTTAGATTAATGCACCTGATGGATTAGATTTTAAAAATTCTGATATAATCTTATCACACCCTTCAAGAGAAAACGGTTGGCTCATACGTACGAAATTAATTGTAACATAATTTTTAATTAGCATATCCATAAAAAAATTCATTATAACTTGAATCAAATTTAGTTCATTAAATTTTAGTTCATTAAAATTTGATATTTAATTCAAAATTTAATTATATTTAACATACCTTTGTTAATTATATTCAAGCTAAATGTATGATAGAAAAATAAATATAGAGCTCAACAGGATACCGGATTAAATTTCGATGCTAAGCGTTAAAATTTTAAATCTAAATGTTAAAAAATTTGCACATCAGTTTAACATACCTTTACCTCACATTATATTTAACATATCTTTGTTTATTATATTCAAGGTAAACGTATGATAGAAAAATAAATATAGAGCTCAACAAGATACCAGATTAAACGTAGATGCTAAACATTAAAAATTTTAAAAGTAGATGTTAAAATTTTTTTCATATAGACAAATTTCAACACATAAAATTTTTAAATTTAATTTATGTTTATAATTATGCAATTTATTATTTTCCAATTATTAATAAAATGCATAGTTTTACTTTACTATCTAGGAGATTTAAAGCAGATATTATATTTCTCCGCCCTTGAAAATTAGTCGTATAATTTTCCTCTAAAACAAATATATAATCTTTGAAATATTATAAATTTGTTTTTTAGAAAATTACGGTAATAGATCTAAAACTAAAAAAAAAATAATACTTTTCGGTTTTGATTTGTGCATGTTAGCTAGTTTATATGTTATGTTTATGTTACATAGTTTTAAAATCATATCACTAATAATGTCTACTACTAACAAACCATAAGTGATTTGTCGAAATCAGACAATTGATAAGATAAAGCAAGACATAATTTATTTTTCAAAATAGATATTTCAGAGTAGTTTAGATCTAATACTATTAATTTAATATGATTTACAAGTTTCCTCCAACATTATTGATTCAAGATAATAATTTAAGCCCCTTGATATTCTATCTTTCTCACTTTTCCAATCATATGCAAAATGTCATTTCCAAGCTAGACACGTCTCCTCATCATTTTCGTCGGAGCAGCAAATCGCAGTAATTAGTTTCCCGTGCTTTCCTTATCACCTAATGCTACAGTTCATGTGATAGGTCTTAAAATAGTGTATATTACCTGGTACTGGTCAAAATAAGTCAGAAATAATAACCGAAGTATTTTACTGAAAACGTACACATATGTGTGGCAGAAGTAAATATATATATTAATGAATGCTATTATGGCATATTTTACTTTTCATTTTATAACCGGGGTTTAACAGCTGAGTTCCATCAATTTTGACTTTCGACTATCTATGTTCAACTCCATAGCATTGAGCCTCTTCGATCAAACATTAGAATAAACTAGCCTACGTAGTAGACATTTTGATGGAACTAACTCGCACTAGCATTGCATGGAGAAGAAAACGGCTAAAACCTCCCATGGTGATTCTATTCCAAGAACCGTCTATCACTGAGGATATTTTACGTCAGCAATGAGGTCGTTGCTAACCGGGAGCAGAATTTATATCAACCTGCCAAGGCGGGGATTTGAACCTGGGTTCACTTCATTGGAAGGCGAATGCTATATCCTCTGACCCACTGTGGCTCAAATTATGGCATATTAGTGAATTTTGACACAAAAAATGCTTTTTATTTAATCATTCAATGTTTTGAAATTAGATTCAGAATGATTTAAGGTAAATAGTGAGAGCTTCATTTATGACTCTTTTAGACTCAAATGCATATCCTCTATCGAAGACGAATTAAAGGTTAGGATCTGATTTACATCAGGCTAACTGGGGTCATTTGTGGTTTTTTTCTATTATATAAAACGTAATGTTTGTTAATTTCACTTAAAAAGTCCTCAACCAAGATAAGTTAGCTCTTCAATTTTTCTACGAATTTTAAATAGATATTAAAAGAACACTGAGGTGATTGTTTACTAATAAAATTTATTATTAAGAAACTTGAAAACAAGCTTGAAACCTGATAAAATGTCCTTATTTTACTCAATGTGAAGCTTCATTATTAAAACTTTTTTTTATAATGATTTTATTAATTGAACGTTTTGGACTGTTTGTAATTGTTTTGAGGTTTTGTGCTATCGAAATTAATAA